AGAGTTTTAATAATTTGAAAATGAAATAAAATAGTTAAGTTGCTAATTTGAATAGGGCAACATGTGATAGCTTGTGATGTGAGCATAGATTGATAACTAGTCTAAGTAAACGTTTATGTGCAGATAGAGTAAGACAATAATAAAAAGTATCCTTTAGTTCAAGGATCTCATATGTATTATATTGGTTAAATACTGGAAATGCTACCTTACAGCAATTAACTTCCATGTTACTGGCAAGTTAATTGGTAGGTCTGAGGTATATAAACCATCACACAACAACTTCTTAGGTTAGCTGGTGGTATCCATGACAACTGATTAATCCAAACAAACCGGAAGGACAAGTCATTCATGAGAAATACTTGAATTAGTCATTTGTCTTCATAATAGTAGGTGCAAACATAATAAACCATAACACAACCACTTCTTAGGTTAACTGGTGGTAGTAGTCATAACACAGTAACTTCTTAGGTTAGCTGGTTATAGATATGTCAATTGACTAATCCAAGCAAACCAGAAGAACAAGTTATTCATGAGGAATACTTGAATTATTCATTTTACTCTCTCTCTCTCTATATATATATATACCAGTTAAACATCATCAGCGTTCCGGTGGAGGATAAGTCATACCGACAGGAATGCTGTGGTTGTTAGACTAGAAATATTATCTTTTATACTAGTTAAATGATCTGAGTAATCTAGAAGGACAAGTCATTTATAAGGATCACATAGGTCATTCATCTGATAGTTATATATATATATAAGTGAAACCCTAATAACCCAGAAGGACAAGTCATTCATAAGGATCATTTCAATTTTGTATCATGCATCAGTTAACATCTTCAGCTTTCTNCAGCGTTCCGGTGGAGGATAAGTCATACCGACAGGAATGCTGTGGTTGTTAGACTAGCAATATTATCCTTTATACTAGTTAAATGATCTGAATAATCTAGAAGGACAAGTCATTTATAAGGATCACATAGGTCATTCATCTGATATTTATATATATATATAAGTGAAACCCTAATAACCCAGAAGGACAAGCCATTCATAAGGATCATTTCAATTTTGTATCATGCATCAGTTAACATCTTCAGCTTTCCNAAATTGTTGAAGATATGTTGAGGGCATGTGCCTTAGATTTCAAATTATTTATGGATGTGATTAGTTGCTTTCATTGTATGAATGGTTTAGTGGTGTCATTCATCTTCTAACCCTCTTCCAATGGTTGCTTAGTTGCTTCAGTGATTATTGAGCTACTTTGTGTCTTGACTAACCTAGATCCTTGTAGGTTNAGCATATAATACATAGATATATAAATATATAAAACATCAACATTTCCAACATTTAGCTAGTATTATACATATGTTTACCTCTCACTGGAGTATATACGAAACTACTCACGCCCCATTGCTACAGACAAGCAAGGAGTGCAGACAGTTTTCATTATAACTTGAATTAAAATACAAAATCTAAAATATTTTTCACAAGGAACAACTGAAATAANTACCTCTCACTGGAGGATATACGAAACTACTCACGCCCCATTGCTACAGACAAGCAAAGAGTGTAGACAGTTTTCATTATAACTTGAATTAAAATACAAAATCTAAAATATTTTTCACAAGGAACAACTAAAATAAAATCACCTTTATTATCAGTTATGACAAAAAGGTGACGGTAGTTCAACTATCTGAATAGAAAGATACAACAGGAATGTATAAGTACAAAGTTTGGACTGAAGTGCATCACGGACCGGATTGTTTTGTAACTTCTCTTTTTCTCTTTCTCTTTTCTCTCTTGGCTTTCTCTCTAGAGTTCTCTTGGTTCCGATCTCCTTCCAAATGCATCAAGGCATGCATATATATAGTAATCAGGAGAACATGAGGTGGAAAGATGATGATGAGCCGCTAAAGGGGACCATCCGGACGGTACCTTCACCATCTAGACAGTGAGGCCTTGCTGGAATTTCCCACTTGCTTTGTATGCTGACTCCTCTTGTGTTGAAATTACACTTTGGCCTTTGTTCTTTAAGTTTTCCTACTTTGTTCCTTGCATTGTGTAGTAATTATGCATTAAACCTGAAACTTTTAAACATAAAACCCTAATTGACTCTAATTAATAGTTTTTAGTTATTTTATCATACTAATTTGACTTTATTAACTGTTCTAATTTATATATTAATTAAGGTTAATCACTCGATTTTGGAAAATCTTACAAAAATCTTTGGGAACGAATTTGAATTTTAGCACTGGCTTTCATCCTCAAATGGATGGACAATCCGAGAAAGTGATTCAAATTGTTGAAGATATGTTGAGGGCATGTGCCTTAGATTTCAAATTATTTATGGATGTTATTAGTTGCTCTCATTGTATGAATGGTTTAGTGGTGTCATTCATCTTCTAACCCTCTTCCAATGATTGCTTAGTTGCTTCAGTGATTATTGAGCTACTTTGTGTCTTGACTAACCTAGATCCTTGTAGGTTAGGTTAGCCAAGTTTTGATTAGGTCAGCTAAGCTTTGTATAGCCATGCTAACTAGATAGGGGTGTGAATTGCATGTTTTCTCTTTGTATCATTAGAAGACATTATATTGTATGAGTGTATATACATCTACACTACTTCTAAATGTCAATACACTAAAAAACCCCTTAATGAAAAGGTAAAGGCAATTCAATTCTCATGATAAAGGCTGATCATGGATTGGATGCAGACTGTTCACATGCAGTAATACTTTCATAACTTTTGATCATCCCCTCATACATACCCTATCAATTTATAACTTTTGGATTTGTTGAAGTTTCATCTTTACACTTAAATTGTGCTATAAATTAATCATTAATTCAATAGAACTTCCATTTTTTTGAAATTTGTCTATTTCATATTCAATGTTGTTTCCTATACAAAGTTTGTTTCACTTTCTATGCATATTGTGTGTATTTCTTGTGCATAGTCTAATTTACCTTCTTCTTTTTTTTAGTGGAATATGGTCTGTGCGTTTTAGTGAAAAATGCGTAACATTCAAGAGTGACTATAGTAGTGAAGATTTGATGATAAAGAATCACGGGTGAGCTGTTGCCAGAATTTGCGAATTGAATTGTAAACAAACCTGTCAACAAAAGCTTCTTCGTATACTATTGCTTCATGCTCTACACCATTTATCAAGAAGGTTCTATTATCAATTTTATTATAAATAATGTATTTTATTAAATTTTGTTAGGAAGTCCAACCAACCCATGTCTGCTTTTTCTTTTTCTTTTTTTGTTTTTATATTTAATTGTTATTCATTCTTGGTACATAAAATGTGAAGAGAAGCACATGCGATGGTTTGCCATATATGATATAGAGTTGATTAATCAGCAACTATCTAATCTGTCAATGCTTACTTAGATTGCGGATTTCCAAAAAAAAAGCTCAAGACTCTATTATACAATATTTTCATATTTAAAATAGTTTTTTTGATCATAATATTTAAAATAGTTCTCATGCAAAATATTTAAGTACCAGCTATATATAAAAAAAATTTCCAGTGGGAATCAACTGTACTACGCATTGGGACAACCAACTCAGGCAGTTGCAAATACGGAATGTCACACGATTATGCTATATCAATTTTAGTGGAGCTTGGACACCAACAAACATAAAAGCAGAAAGAAGGTTGAATGATGAAGAAGCACCCATTTAGAATAAGAAAATGAAAACATTACAAAAGTCAACCATGGATTGTAGTTTGTGAGGTTACAAATGGGAAGTGAGTTTGATGTAGGAGAATCCTATTCCAGGAGAATAATGTTCCTTTTTCTTCCCACCATAAAACACTTTTGTTATCGTTGACTGTCGAGAAATTGTACTTTATTCATTTATATCCAAATTGAATTTTTATTTTTTATCGATAAAAATTCCAAATTCAAAAGTTACACGGCCTTGGTTGCATACTTTGTGTATTCCTTTTCTTGTCTTATTAATCAGTACCAATCAGTTAACTCATTAAAAGAAGACATGTAAATTGAAGTCAATTTGATTGGAACAGAATCCAAGGCTTTCGTAAATGTGGAAGTTATCAGTGTCAATAATATCTCCTCTTGAATTATTACTTCTTCTTGTGATATTTCCATTGGAATTATTACCTCTGATAGTGATGCAAATCTTAGTAAAAAATTGTTTGGCTATAATAAAAGAGAATAAAAATAGTTTGGTATTCTAGTACAAAATACTTACACTATACCTATTTTTTCTCCATCTATAATTCCTTAATTACCTATAATTAATTTTTTTATGAACTATACTAAATGATGTCTTCTCACCTATGTATCTCTCTTTCTCTCTCTCTCTCACGCATACAAATACTTGTGTAGAGACCCGTAATAATGTTAGCTTTTGTACCGCCTGCTCTTGCAAAAGGCTTATCTAGACAATGATTTTTTTCACAGTTATACCCCTATTTCTTGTTCATAGGGCATGAATAATACAATAACACTACCTTGTGATTCTTTTGGGATAAAAACTCATAGAACCTAAATTACTTTCAGCTAATCAGACAAACTTTCCTCATCGANCACAGTTATACCCCTATTTCTTGTTCATAGGGCATGAATAATACAATAACACTACCTCGTGATTCTTTTGGGATAAAAACTCATAGAACCCAAATTACTTTCAGCTAATCAGACAAACTTTCCTCATCGATTTTAATAAGATGAGGTTAATTCTTAATCAAAATACTAATTTTTTATTACCATCTACTCAAGTTATTTATGAGATTTTCTGTTCGATATTTCTTACATGTTACCTGAAAGCACGATCACTATCTTTAGCTGTTGTAGTACTAGATCTTAAAGACCGCTGGATATAATTAACTTTACTGGATAACATTCTGGCGCACATTGTCTTTTTTGATGTTGGAGAGGTAAAGGCACTTTCAAAGATTTTAAAATCTGGATTGGATTCCTCCTCATTGCCTCTCTCTCTCTCTTATATAACTTGTCCCCTGCCTCAACTTGACAGTGCCTCCTTTAGATTATTTGCTTGCTGGTCCATCAAGCAAAAACAAAGAACCGGTATGAACGTGCAAACCAAGCTCCGGCAAGCTTTTGGCTCAATGAAAGATCATGCATCCATCGGCAAAGCTCTGATATACAATCATCACAGCTTCGCCAACATAGAAATTGCGATAGTGCGAGCGACCAGCCACGATAATGTTGCCGTCGACGACAAATACATGCATGAAATTCTCTTCCTCGTTTCCAACCATCCAGGGTGTATCCAATTCCTCGCCCATCGGCTTTCTCATCGTCTTGGAAAGACGAGAGATCGCGTGGTTGCCCTCAAAACTCTGGTGCTGACTCATCGCCTCCTACGCGCAGGCAATCGTTCTTTCGAACAGCAGCTTCGGAGCTCTCATGCTTCTGGCCTTCTCCGGTTAAAAACTGATCGGTTTCCGAGAAATTCCGACAACTTGATATCTCTTCTTCACCACTATGCGGCTTATCTTGAAGAAAGAATGAACTGGTTCATTACCCAAGCTGGAAAACTCGAAGCCTCAATCTCCCAAGGCTTGGAGTTTCACGTCTTCGAGAGGAAGCCGATGGACATGATTCTCCGTAGATTAACAAAATGCCAAGTGTTTCTTGAGAAGATCTTGGACTTTTCACCTTCCGTTGTTTTTCCATTTGATAGCTTGGCATACACAGCTTTGAGCAACACTTTGAAAGAAAGCTTCCAGGTGTACATGACATTTTGGGAAGAGATTGCTGCTGTTGTTAATATTTTCTTTGACTTGGAAAGGTCGGAGAAAGCTTTGGCCTGTGATATACTCAAGAAGGCTACTAAGCAGAGTCAAGAGCTCGTTAATTTTTATGAAAACTGCAAAAGGGTAATTGGGAATAAGCATTTGGAGTACCCATTGGTGCAAATAATAACAGTGGATCATGTTTTGGCACTGAATCAATTCGTTAACTGTGCACCATTGAATTGTCTTACAAAGTCAACTGAGATGAAGACAACGATGAAGAGTGAAGAAGTTGAAAACGACCAACAGAGGGGTGAGAATAGCTTATCATCTACTCTGTTCTCTTGGACACTGGAAACCAAAATAAGCAAGGTTTGGGTCGTGTTTGATGAAGAGGAGCCCGATAAATATCATGTTTCTCCTGGGAGACTCTTCAATGATACAACTAACGATCATTTGGTTTTCTGTGTGGAAGCCCTGAGCAATAGAGAGACTAAATATAATGGGAGTTCCAGTTTATTTAATCCCTAAACAACTTTTGTGGAGTTTAGCATAATTTCGTAGGTATGCCTGCATGAACTTGGATAAACCATTTGGGCTGATGAAATTTTTGTACATCCTGATCTTGCTTATTTGTTCAAATTTAGCCTTTTAAAGAACATGTTGATGTGAATGCATTTTAAATGTTAAAACAAGACGATGGTGAGTGCAAATGAAGATTAGGAGAATGTCAGAAGTATTTTCGGCATTCCTACTCTGTTGCTTATGTCAATATTGAATTTTAACCGATGAATATGTTGTACAATATGGACCGAATTTGATGCCCATATTTTACAGCCTTGAAATAATATTTTATCACATGAGTATTTCTTTAATTACCTTGGACCATTGTTTATCACATGGGTAAATCAACGTTTGATTGTCTCTGTGTGGATTAGCCAGTATACCTCAATTACTCCCTTAACTAGCCGTTGTCCTTAATTGCCTCTTATCACTTGGGACAAAAAAAATTACTGTCGTTTTTGTTCACCTTGAGCAGCACTATATAATACCTTTGTTGGGACAAATGCACAGACACACGAGAAGCAAATTCTTCCTCTTATTGGTCTACGTGCAGAAGCCTTAGCTTTCTAAGGCAAAGATGGGAAGCTTTCCTTTGGCCAAAATTCTGAAGCTTTCTTCTATTGTTGTCTTACACACGTAACCCACAAAATCATTTCTTCATTAGCATTTTTTTGACATCTTTAGCCATTGGGCTAATTAAGTCAATGTTCTTCCTGCCTCGTTCATATTACGAGTGCACATTTGTTAGAAGTGATTCTTGTATCCTGGAGAGTAGTTGTCACTGTCCCGTTGCACTGAGCTTTATTCTCTGAGGGGGGAAATTTATCTTTAAAGGTAATGATTATTGTAACACCCCAACCCTAGTATAATTGAGTCCACATTCTCTACTAATTCAAAAAGATAGTTCAAACAGAGACCCAAAAATTTTAAATAAACTCACCCATTTACATTCAAAATACCAGATTGTACAACCAACATAAGGTTAGAGTCGTTTGGCATACTTAGAAGAGTCACGCTTATTGCCAAACTTTATACTTTACAAACCACAAAATATTTCGAATGTCATATATATTTACAAAACCATCATTGTTCGATCGTTGAAAAAGAAAAAGGAAACTCCAACATTAACTCCCCCTTAACCACCTAGACTCAGTGGTGGACTCCTTCCGAGCATAGGGTACCTGAGGAACAAGAAGAGCTACAAAGAATGAGCATAAGAAAATTCAGTGAGTATTAAGTGAAAAACTTTTAATTTTTTATTTTACCCTTATAAAAAAATTTAATTATCACATTATCTTTCCATAGTTAAATATCTAAATTACAATCACGTCCTTATGTATTTAAATTACCAATTTACCCTCTAACATTTCTTTTACTTTTTTTGGGGGGAGGGAAGAAGAAAGGGGAATGAGGAGGGGGACTTGAACTCTTGACTTCAAGAAAGCAAAATCTTTCCAAGACAAGGAATATCATTTGACTAAATGGTCATTGGTGACATTTCTTTTACTACTCTGTTATCTTTGTATAAATATCAATATCTATAAAAAAAAAATTAATTGGCTACATTACTCTTAAAAATATATATGCATCATTATAGTTTTCAATAAAGTGTTCAAAAACTTCATCAATAAATCATATTTTTTTCAAATATATAGATAACATTATGATTATATACATGTATTTTTTTCCATCTATACTATTAATAAAGAATGAAACTTTTGTCTTAACATGAAATTTTTTTAATTCACTATTTTATTCTTATAAAATATTTTAAATACCACACTATCCTTCAATATTTGAATATTTAAATTGTCATCATATACTTACATGTTTAAATCTCCAAATTACCCCTAACTATCTCTTTTACTTCTTTATTTACTACATATAAATATTAGTATCTATGAAACTTTTTAATTGACTATGTTACCTTTAAAACATATATGCATCACTATAATTTTTAATAAAACATTCAGTTTTTTAAAACAAAAACTTTATCAATTAATATTACTCATTTTAAATATAAAGATAACAATATCTATACATATGTGTATTTTTTTCATCCAAAATTTCAACCATTTAATTTTTAAGATAAAAAATAATCTTTTACGTAATTTTTTTTAATAATTTATATTAAATCAACATAATTCTTCAATTACAGTAAACTTTTCATATTTTATTAAGGGTTTATATATATATATTATATTTTTAAGTAAAACTTGAATTTTAGAATTTTAATATTCTTTTAAAATATATATTATAGAGTGATATATTATATTTTAAGGTGAATAGTACTTTTAGTCTCTAAAATATGCATGTTTTGTCAGTTTGTCTTCATTATATCAATTTTATCAACTTACTCTTTAAAGTATTTAGTTAATTTTTAAATGATCTATATATAGACAATATGCTAAGTTTTTCATAGAAGTGATTACGTGATACTATTTGACGGAATAACATGTGGTTATTTTAATCAAAAAACTTAACTGACCATCTGGTTAGGGACCATTTGAACAAGAATTAAATATTTTAGGGACTAAATTGACAAAATTTATATACTGATGTCTAAACTGACAAAAAGCGCAAATTTTAGAGAACCAAAGTGTTATTAATCCTATATTTTATCCGTATTAACCTAACTAATTATAGTAAAATATTAAAAATTATTTTTTATTTTATTCAATGAATTATAAGTTGAAATGTAATCATATGAATTTCAAATAAATTATTTTTATTTTTTTTAATACTTAAAATAATGAATCGTTGGGAACAAACAACATTTTCAAATTCTATAATATAATACGAGCATAAAAATATAATTTTGATAAACTTGAAATGATATTTCATGTAGTTACACATATACCTAATATTTTTTATTAATATTTTGTATATGAAAATTATTCATGTGTAACGCACGTGGTGCATTACTAGTACAATACAAATGTAAGAAATGGTATTACTCTGATAACAATTACATTCTAGTTAGACATTTTATGAGAATATTAATATATNGCACGTGGTGCATTACTAGTACAATACAAATGTAAGAAATGGTATTACTCTGATAACAATTACATTCTAGTTAGACATTTTATGAGAATATTAATATATATACCACCAAGGACACTTCATAATTTTGCTTCTATGGCTATACCACAATAGCCACTAAGGCTATATCAAGTTCGCCACCGAGGCCATCTCACATTTGCCACAAAGGCTATATCGAGTCCGCCACTAAGACTAAATTTTCCCGTAAGGCCATAGTTACAACTTCCATCCCAACATAAGCCTTTATTTGTTCATGCTCATATTCCAACAGTAAATAGCATTCACAATGCCAATGTAAGGTATGTGAGTTAATACACTCAAGTTGGTATCCACCTAAAGTTCGATCCCCAATGGAGTTTTAGGTGGAATGGTCGATGATGCAGATGTCTTCGTACCTAACACACATGTTATCACATTTGCCTTTAAATACTTCTTATGACAACATTATATTCTAAGTGTAATGTGTATATATTGTAAAACCCGAGAATATTTTTTTATTAAAATCCTAATTAAATGGGTAAAATAATAATTAATTGTTAAAGCACGAGTTAAAAGTATGAATTTTTATATAATTTAGATGATGAAATGGACCTCACTGGTAGATTCATCTAGCGAAATCTAGTTACCTAGTAAATTTTTATAAAATTTTGAGACAGATCACGTGTTACAAAGCGATCTGGTGTCGCGTGACTAAAATAATTGCAATCAGATTTTATTCGCAAGACCTGAAAAATAATTTAAGATAGTTTAATAAAAACATACTGAAATTAACACGAACGAGATTTAATTGATTAAGAATAAAATTGGACTCGTTAAAATTGAAGGTGTGGTGCGATGTGGGCCAAATATTTAAAACTATATAAAGTGGAAGACAAAAGTCTTCGNCTAAAATAATTGCAATCAGATTTTATTCGCAAGACCTGAAAAATAATTTAAGATAGTTTAATAAAAACATACTGAAATTAACACGAACGAGATTTAATTGATTAAGAATAAAATTGGACTCGTTAAAATTGAACGTGTGGTGCGATGTGGGCCAAATATTTAAAACTATATAAAGTGGAAAACAAAAGTCTTCCNTTTAAGATAGTTTAATAAAAACATACTGAAATTAACACGAACGAGATTTAATTGATTAAGAATAAAATTGGACTCGTTAAAATTGAAGGTGTGGTGCGATGTGGGCCAAATATTTAAAACTATATAAAGTGGAAGACAAAAGTCTTCCACTTATGCAGCATGGAACATTTAGCCAGACAAAGAGATAGAAAAGAGAGAAAGAAAAAAAGAAAAGGAAAAAAGTGTAACACCCCGCATTTTCTTTTTTTTATATATATATAGATATATAGTAAATAATTGTGGTAAAAATGTGGATATGTGTAGTGATGTGTGTTTGAATTTGGTAGATTGAAAAAGTAGAGATTTAAAATGTTAGTAGAAATAATAGTTAAAATTTGATTTTAATAAGTGAAAATATGAAATTTTAGGTCCTAGAACTTGTATTAAATAGGTTTGGTATATAAATATGTGTTGGAGAGGTTTGGGATGGATTTGGTTGGGTTAGGAATGGATTGAAAATGGAAAAGAGATGAAACAGGACGTGAAAAGTGTACGTGAACAGTACACTGGCTGCAACTTCAAGCGCGATTTCGACCTTGATGCGGTCAATATCTCTCAAAACTCAAAAAATGAAAGNTTGGGTTAGGAATGGATTGAAAATGGAAAAGAGATGAAACAGGACGTGAAAAGTGTACGTGAACAGTGCACTGGCTGCAACTTCAAGCGCGATTTCGACCTTGATGCGGTCAAAATCTCTCAAAACTCAAAAACTAAAAGTTGTAGAGATATTTCTTAGCATTCCATATCATCTTGAATCATCTCAATCGGAGCTCGGATGAGAGATTTATGCCCAGATAACGAAGCGATGTCAAAAAAGTCAAATTAGCTTCGTTTTGCATTTAACGTCTTCATTTGCATCCTAAATCCAAATATAAGAATAATAAGTATATTTAAGCTTTAAATAAATATAAAAGGCTTTAAAAAGCACATTTTATTTTNCTCAATCGGAGCTCGGATGAGAGATTTATGCCCAGATAAC